GTTAGCCCGACACCAGCAGCCAGGGCTAACGTTAGCCCGACACCAGCGGCCAGGGCTAATGTTAGCCCGACACCAGTAGCCCTCTCTCTGCATAGCGGTGTGTGAAGTACCTCTGGCTCTGATGGACGTTTTTTGTTTTATTTGGCAAAATATTCACTTGATTTGTTTTTATCTGACTGTGTTTGCTTTATTCCGCCATTAGATGAAAAAAGTTAATATTGTTGAAATGCAGCTACAGGCGAGCTGAGCATGTGGTGATGTCATCAGTACGCTTCTGTTCCAATTGACCCATATTTATGCTGCTAGTTCGGTTCTCCCAGAGTCCAGACTTTCCTGTGTTCTTCTCAAGAACGGACTTGGCAAGGACACAAGTCCGTACTCGTGTTCTAGTGAATTGAGAAACGGCCATAGTCTTTAGCTGTAAACACAAATAGCTTGGTAGCTGCCACTAATCAGTAGTGCCATGATGTTGATTCTTAACTTATTTCTAATCGGATGCTAACAGTGTGAAGTGCATGATAGACATGGATTGAAAGCTCAGGAAGATGCAGAGGGACTGTGCAGTAATATGTTCAGCATTCCTTGTATCTCCAGAGGATGACTCCTCCCATCAATCTGACCCAAAGCCCTGCAGGTACCGCTCAGGTGTCCTGGGACAGACAGCTTCTAGTTGAATAAAACCGAACTTCCAGTCTGAAATGCATTTAACAGAGAAACCTGTGAACAGATCCGGCTCCATCGGCAGCTGTGAAAATCAACATAATGACTCATTTATTTCAATAACTGTACCTGAGCAATTCCACCCGTGACCTGTTGATGAGGGATGATTAAATGACATGCTGTGGCCTTGTGAGACTAAGCGCACTTCTTTATTCACATGAAGTATAAATCTGATGCTGGAACAGCAGCACAGAAATAATCTATAGTGCTGAGGAAGTGCTGCTGTCAGCACTGCAGAGAGCCGGAGGAAGATCCAGCTTAATGGAGGGTCAGCTAAGGTCAGGAGGAGAGCAACTTTGGCTCAGACGCTGCAGATCTGAAGATAACTGGGAGCGTATCAGTGCTTTGGACGCGTCTTTAGTAGGAAATCTGCTGATTAATAAGGTAATCTATAGTTCATTGATTTTTATCGATCCACCAACAATTAGTTTATAATAGGGATGCACGATATTGGGATTTTGGCCGATATCCGATATGCCGATATTTTAAAACTCATGTAGCCGATAACCGATATCGATACCGATGTTAAAGCTGGACAAAAATAAGTAGTCATTGAAAATAGCAGTTTTGTTATCCATTTGAATTTTCGGGGGATTTCGTAGCATAACGATGACATATAGCAATATTTCATTAGTGAAAGAGATTGATATGGTGTTTTTAAATGGCAATATATCAGCATATGAAGATATTGGGATATTTTAATGTATCAATATTTTTTCCCTCGTCTTTGTAAAAAAGAAGTTTTTGAGGAAGAAGAAGTAGTATTTTTTTTATTTTTTTTATTTTTATTTTTTTTTAGACTTTAGAAACTTAGAAGCTGATCAAATATCGGGTTAAATATCGGAGGGGTGGCCGATGTCCGATATTCAGTTTTAAGGCCGATACCGATAGGGGGCCGATTAGATCCTGCATCCCTAGTTCATAAGCAGCTATTTTCTTAAAACCCTGGTTTTATTTTTTGTATCACAAGTCTTACGATTATTTTCCCAGTCAATTAATCTTTTGCTTATTTTTCCGATTAATTGACGATAATCAGATAGCAAAAGATTATGCTGGAGAAGATTCTCAGTCATCCAGGTCACGGTCATTCCAAAAAAGTAAAAAAAAAAGCAATCCACTGGACTTTGTTTCCGAATCTGAAGAGGTTTCTCTTCCATCCAGGAAGATTTTTCAATTCAAAATGTCAGAAATAGCGTTTAGTTCCAGGTTTTATCCAGCAGCCCAACAAAGCCTGGTTTTAGTTTAGAAAACATGCAAATAGAAACAGATGAACGGGTCCTCCACTTTGGAATGGGTGTGGTTTGGCTTCTTTGTTCGCCTGCAATGCCCCATACCTGTCTATGTCTCTGAAAGGGGGGTCATTAGATGGAATTGTTGGCCCTCTCATTAAGGTTGGTTATTCTGTTGTTATTAAAAAGTGTGAAACAATACCACAGTTTGAAACGTTCTATGTTCCTGTAGAACTGTAAAGAACTCAGATCTAAAAGGCAAAATCATAAACTTTTTAAATGAAATGAAATGTAGGATTTTTTTTAATAGATCATCCTAATTTTGTAAAAGACCCCAGGGAATAAATTGTTAATAATTTAACCAATTAATTAAATTAACTGTTTTTGTCAATTTTTTTCTTTTCTTTTTGGTATATCAGGATTATGGGTTTTTTTTTTGCTCTTAATTCAGAGGGGTGTCATTCAGGCAGCGTAGTGGGTGGCAGGCCCTCTAATAAAACCCTATTATATTCATTATGATTCATTCATTTATTTAAATTTGCAGCATTATGCCTGCCATGCAACCTTTTTGCTTTTGTTGAGGATTGATATATTAGTTGTTAAAAGTTCATTTTCTAAACAAACGTTAGCGCTGCTCTTTTAGCCAAAGCTGGAGCGTTATTTTAGTTTTTTATAGTTTAAATGCTCCAATGATTGACCGTCCGTCTGTTCGATGTTTGGCTCCTGCCATGCGTAGCAATGACAACTGCTTATTTTTCTGTCTTTCATTGAGATGTTTTATTTATATATTTGAGTGTTTTTATATCAGTTAAATGAAACCATAGTGGTTGATTTTTTTTATCTCTCTGTTTGCTCTGTTGAGCTGCTGCTAAGCCAAAGGAAATAAATGCTTAGTTTCATCTGGCCCTCAGGCGAGCTATCGAACTAGTCTGACTCACCCACTCAAAGCAGCTCTTTGTTCAAAGAACTTGTCTTATTTTACCACTTTGTTGGCCTAAAACTCAGGTTTCCATTCAGTCCTTTTTATCCTTTTCTCCTTTATTTATTCTATCGTTCTTATGTTCAACTTGAATAGTTTTGCTTCTCAAAATACACAAATATACGTGTATTTATTGTGAAATTATGAAACATATTTATACGTTTCAAGGCTCTAAACTCGTCAACGCATCCGTCACTGATGAGTCGGGGGGGCATTGCTACAAAACCAAAGTTAAAGGTTTCTTATTTTAGTTTCACCACAAGCTGCTGGAAACAAAAATATAGTTTAATCTGGGGCTGCAATTAACGATTATTTGGCAAATATGCCAGTCTTATGTTTACATTTTATCACTGGTGCACTTTAAAAATGGAAATGTCTTGAGAGTTTTACTGAACGAAATTTCTTTTTGTACACTCTGTGTTTACAAAATGACAAGTCTGTATAAATCAATTAATCCTTCAATAATTTTTTCGATTAATCTATTAATCATCGGCTAGCTAAAGATTCCTTAAAGATTTTTTAATGAAATTAAAACAGGTGAAACTAAAACATTTCCACTTGAGGAGTTCCGGATAGGCTTATTGATATTAAGCTTATTTTTTTTTTTTTTTTTTACAATTTATGTATAATTGCTGCTCTGTCAGCTAAAGGCATGTTTTCCAATCTAGTTAACAATTCATCTATTTCTAAATTAGTTGACAATTATTTAATAACTAATTCATTCGATTAATTGTTTCAGCATTAATTCCAAAACTATCAGGAAGACATGAAATAATTTTTAAAAATAAAACTAAGACCTTAATTGGTATTAAAATGTCTTAAATCAGTCTTTCATAGGTCTTATTTTTTAATACATCATAAATAATTTTTGTAATCTAAATAAAACATTAAAATTGACAATTTTTTTTATTTAAAAAAAAACAATTGGCTCTCCATTATTGGTTCCGTCCCGATAGCGGAACCAATAAAGCGTTGTTGCGGCCGGGACATTTGGGAGATGCACCATTAACTTTTTGTCTGGTAAATATGAGCAAGTGTAAATGTAACCAAAATTGTCTCCAGCCAAGAGTTTCCTCCATGGCTAAAACCAGGGAACATACATGAGGCTCAGTGGATTTAGTGCAAGAAGTCATTCAAGCTCAGAAAGATGGGAATTAAGGCAGTGGAGTCGCACATGCGAAGCACGAAACACAAAGCGTCAAAATGGAGTTACCGAGAAACAGCCGGTATTTCTCAGTTTAGTTCCACCCTTGTCTCTGCAACGCCTCCACTTATCACCAAATCAAACATACTAAGAAAACCATACAAAGAAAAATAGCTGCAAAAAGACTTAGCATTGGTTATGTTGGGGCTTTAAAACTGATTTGTTTTGTTCCCTGCTAAAACAAAGTTTGTGAATTCAGTTAAATAATTGTTCAAATATATCTGTCATTTGTGTGTTTTTAGCTTTCTTCCTGGATGGGAAGCTTTTCAACATTTGAAACATTAGTGCAGTGGTTTATGTTAAAATAAACATTTGGGTTAAGTTGCTGCAAGCAGATTTTTCTTGTATTTCTTGTGAATTTGGTCTTAAATTTTAATTTCAAGTGGCATTAAAAAGTCTTAAAAAGTCTTGAATTTAACTTGGCTTTTACTGTAGGAACCCTGATACACACATTTTTATATCAGACAGTTAAATTTTTATTTGTTAAATTGAATTTTAAGTTTATATAAGATGATGTGAAAGTTCTTACTGCAGCCTGCACTGTATTATCTACTCGGCTAACACATCGATAATCGTCTGCATTTTTCCAACCAGACAGTTTTTCTCCTGAATCCTGCCTGTTTTTGTTTTTACTTAAACATTACATTGAAACTTAGCTTGGCAAAGAACAAAGTAAACCAAACTCTGGAGGAAAAGCTTGATGTGCTAGCTGTCTGCAATGGTTTCCTCTGGTTTAGAAGTCATCATGCATAATTTATGCAGCTGTGACTTGGCCTTCATGCAACTGTACAAGCGTGAATTGCGTATATATGAACTCAGTTCTAAGTCGTCCTCCCTGTTCTCTGACTCGCCTTTTGTTGTCAAACAGCTGAGGGAAGCGAGCAACACAAGGAAGAGAACCATTTGATGGAAGAGAAGAAAAAGAAAAAGCAAGAAGAAAAGAACAAGAAGGAAATCACTCAGAAAAAGGTGATTCTCACATTTTTACACAGATGATGGTTTTTATCTCATTAATCTCTGCTGGGTTTGGAGAATTATTTCACCTAAGCACCGTTTTATGTGTGCATGTCCTTAAACATTAATGACTTTATATTTAAATCCAATTTTTTTTATTTATTATTTAAGCAAGGTTTATTTTATTTTCAGTATCCAAATGTGCAATACAAATTCTGGAATCATCACCCACCCCTTTTAGTCCCGCCCCGTCCGGCGTCATTCAGTTATAACCCAGAGTAAAAATAATAATAAAATAATTCTAATAATCAAATAAATAATTAAATTGATTAAAAAAATATATAAGAAATAAAAAAGGGGGGGTTTAAGGTTAAAGCCTTCTACACCAAACCAAGCTTCTGCCGCCCTGGCGTCCTCTTCCACAACATCTTCATCCCCGCTTTCCTCCTCTAAATAAAAAATGGATGACGGAGGAGACTCATCCACGACCTCCGACACTAAACTCTCCTCCTCTTGCATGTTTCCGCTGTCCATAGCGTTCCTTGACAGCGTCGTTTCTAAGTCACCAATTTAGTGCTTCTTGGTCCCAATGGAATTTCCCATTGGGAACCTGCTAGCACTAAGATGCTAACTGGTTAGCAAGATGCTTTCCACAAACCGGCTTCAACCAAACTTACTTGCGAACCTTCCGCCACAACAATCGACCAATCACATTCACTTTATTTGGAAATGGTTGGAACAGCTGCTTCCCTACGACTTTAAACTTTAATGTATTTCAACGGGTTAATTGAGCCTCTAATTTCTCCACAAAGTTTAAAAATGGTTGAATAGAGTTATAATATAGATGCTCTCACAGTGTATCTAATCTAATCTAGTTTTAATGACTGCATAACATCTTTAATCAATGAGCAGAAGCAGGAGGGGAGGCTTCCTCCGTTTGAACAGTATTAACCTCCTTGCTAGTAAGGTAGAGGATGCTACAACATTTGTCTGATTGGCATGTAGATGTGCACCAGCTGGAAACGACGCCAATACTTGCAGTCAGGGGAGAAGGTTCTAGTGGGTTTTGGAGGATAGTGGCTAGAGCATCAAATATAGATTTCCAGAAATGTCTTTTTGATCTATTCTATTCTCTCCTTCTGCAGGCTGCTGATCAGAAACCCAAAGGTGAGTGTTTTGATCTAATAAGCTTCAGCAGCATTTCATTTTAACTGCTCATTAACTTAAAACAACTTCACCTGTTAGTTCTTCTTAAAGCTTTTTTTTTAAACGCTTATACCTGAAAGCAAAAGGCAGTTTTCAATGAATTTGTTCATTTATTGTCGGGGAGCAAAGAAAAAATGTAGGATTTAAGAATTCTTGGTTTCATCCAAACAGCCCAAACCGTCACACTGCCGTCTCCGTGTCTGAGTGTAGTAATTATCTTTTCTTAAAACGCTGTTAGTTTAACATCAGATGTAAAGTCACCTGCTGGAAGGCCTCATTTTTCTCTTTTTAGTCCACTAGATGGTTTCCCATCATTTTGGGGCTATTATGAGACGCTGTTAGCTCGCAGTAGCCGTGTTTCCATTCAACTGAAATCTGAATTTTCATCAAACTTATAATATTAGCATTTTTTTATATGTAGTTCTAACAAATTAACCAAGCACCATAAAGGCGTCCCATGTCGTCACGCATGGCTGTAGTAAACAGGAAGTAGAGGCTGCGTTCTGCACGGACCACAGGCCAGTAATGGAGGACAGTTTTAGTGAATGTGATGCTATCAGGAAAATTTTCTTAAGATGTCGTTTAATAAAGGTGATACTGCTTGTTTACATGCATGATAGGAAGACGGCGATGGCAGAAACAGCTGATCAGTCATCTGAGGACAAGTTTGCTACGTCACGCGTTTTGTGCATCAACCCTTTTTCTCATCAACCAAAGACCAACTCAATAGAGCGTTAAAAGGAACATTCGGTCAATGGATCATTATTTAAACCTAAAACTAATACTTTCACCGTGATTTAATGAATTTAGGGTTAATAAGTAAAAAATAAAAACAATAATTTTCATTGCGACCCCCCGCGACCCGGTTCCGTATAAAGCAGGAGATGATGATGAATTTTCATTGCTATTAATGAGTCCGGGAGCGGCCATTTTTGCCCAAATATAGTAGAATTACGCATTTAAAATGGACCATATAGCGACGCTTTAAAGTATAATATTCTCGTACTTTTATTGAACGACAGCAATAGAAAAGAGAACTTTTAATTTTCAATGGAGCGCTCCATTGAAAGCTGCATGCTTGTTCAATTGTTGTTGCCATTTTCCTTATCGTACTTTCTCCAGAGTCGTGCACTCCCTCAAAACCCGCCCACTTTGCGTCCAGAAATTTAAAACACATCTCTGAGTTGTGATTGGCCCGCCAGTTCTAGGGCCTGGGGAATTGATCGAGGCTAGACAAACTCACAGGCAAGAAGGATTTTGGCCGCTGGCAGGTGGGGCTAGTTTACTAGGCTAGCAATCAACAATTATTGAAGATTTCCAGAGGATACTTCTGAAAGTGCTTTAAATCTGAAATGATTCCATCCTGTTCAATAAATGATCAGTGTTTTTAATTCAGAGTAATTTTCATGTGAATGTGCTTTACTGGAGGCATCCATGTTTGTCAAAGAACACTACTGCCACCTACTGGTTAGTGACGTCACGGTGCGGTATCGGCTGTTGATCAAGTCCCAGTGCTGTATCTGGTGTTTGTCACAACGCGCTATTATCCAAGTCATCTTGAAATCATTCTTCTTCCAAATGTTGGCTACATATTACGGGTTTTTTCTCTGGCCAGAAGTTCGATGGCAAATCCTCCCTCTTCAAGTTGGCGATCCAACGACCAACCCGTCCGTGGAGGATCAGGAATCAGAAAGGTGGAAAAAAACTTGTTTTTTTTTTCCAGAAGTCCTCTGGAAATCTTCAATAATTGTTGGTGATTGCAGATGTGTCTAGTAGTTCCCATTGATTTTGCTTGTAAAGCAGGGAGAATGGCGCTAGGCTTACCGCACTGTGACGTAGTATATAAATATCTGGCTGGCTTGCCAAATATGGAAGCAGTTGTACTGCGTTATGTAGTCCTGTTTCTGACCTTATGCTCACTTAGCAACACAGAGAATGCAGCATGTAAACAGAGTCTACATACTGGGAGTCACGTACGAATCTTGGCAAAAACAGGGTTCTTGCTGGCTGACTCACACGCAATCAGGTCATAAGCTAAGAGATTTCCAGGAAGAGCGTCCAGTCGTGCACGTGCATCCACACAGTGGGATGTGGAAACTATAAATGCCGCCCAGAATTAATTGAAGGTGGGGGATAACAGAATTTTTGACGACGCGTTGCTGGATGTATGAAGAGTTTAAAACAGCTGTATGAATTCGGTTTTGTAATTAAATGTGTCCCCCCTCCGGATGATAAATGGTGTGAATCGTGGCCTTCTTTTCTGTCATAAGGGAATGCTACCAATGAGCTTCCATAACGTCACTGCTGGAAGATGGCAGGAGGGAGGGGTTACTATATTTGGGCAAAAATGGCCGCTCCCAGACTCTGTGATCTCGACAAAAATTTTTTATTTTTTTACTGATTAACGCTAAATTCATTAAATTATTGCGAACGTGTTAGTTTTAGGTATAGATGACGATCCATTGATTATTCGTTGCAGACGGGACTTTTTCTTTATATAAAAACCTTCCATGATTCAAGTTTGCACAGTTTAATGATGAATACTGAGCTTTACACTGGGCCACTTTCTGCTGCTCCTCTAAAGTAACATTTCCCTTCAAGGTTAGAGCTTTAATACAAACGGTTTATGATGTAAACAGCTGCAACATTAAGAGGAGGCAGGTTACATGCAGGTTTTTTTTTTTTATGGGGTAAATAGAGCAGAGATTTTTTTCTCTTCCTTTGTTTAACTTTGATGTCTGCTGGTTTCTTCTACAAAAACAGTCTCGCTTTGCTTTTCCCGTGTTGCTCAACATGTTCATGACGGCATGAGGGCTCGTCTTTGATTAACCAGAGCGTGTTTGTCATCTGTTCTCTGGGAAATGTTATGATTAGAGTCTATTGGTTTCCTGTTGTTATGCTGATTGATTGTCAGCATACATCAGCTGACACTTTGGTGGTTTTCCTTTTGGTTGCATGTTTCCGCTAATTGATCTAGATAATAGGAATTCACTTCCCCTGTTGGTTATTTACAGTTGTTTGAAGGACTATTTGCTTCCTTACAGATTTTTTGTTGCTGCACTATGATGTTTTGGTTCATAAAACAGGTTTTTATCTTATTAAATGCGGATAAAATATATTTAAGATAACTATTTAATCGTTGCATGTAGCTACCCCGCGGTTTCGTCGTACAATGTATGCTCGGCTTTAGCTTCAGAGGAAGATCATGGAGGTCAGACATAGTTCTTGACTTGCATTGTAGTGTGGAAGCAGACCACGCTTCAATATGGAGCATAAATCAAAAATAACTGCGACGTACAACCGTTTTGTTATTGTTCTTTTCTACAGAAAGCCGACTGCTTTATTTATTTCATGCAAAGGGATAAAACTTTAAAATTACAGCCTGTCTTCATAGAGAGGCCCAGCTGGGGGTCGCAGACTAAAGAGGAAGAAACTTTAGCCAGATATGAATGATAATGAAGAATGAAAGCAGTGAAACATTTGGGTTCTTTGTTGTCGATGAAAACAGGGAAATAACTAAATGTTCAACCTTGGAGTGAATACAGAGGAGGGCTGATGACGCGGGCGTCGGTTAGACTCCATGAAAGATGGAGATGGACTTGGAACGCCATCCTGAACGTCTGCACCATGGATACGCGTGCGGACAGACATGAAAAGGACGGGAGGAAATAAGGCCAGTTTGAAAAAACTAATCAGTTAGAGAGCCATCAGGACTCGACCCCCCCACCCCCGCATCTATCTCCAATATATTTTAAATGGAAGGTGCCGTCAGCCGGTCAGGGATTGCTTTTTATGCATGGCTCTAAATAACAGAGCTGGGGGTGTATATGTATGTATTTATATGCAGAGAAGGGAGGAAATCGGTACGAAGCAGTGATTTGTGTTTTTCCATCCATATCGGCGCATTCTGCCATCCTCATACACTTTCAGGAATTCATAGCAGCATCCACCCCCCCCTCTCTGCAGGCCCTCCTCGGACCCAGGCATTCAATTTGTTTGCGGTAATCGATCTCGGTTTCATATGTATGAAAATGAGATAAAGCTTTGGCGCGCTGGAATTAACTTCTCTGCCCCCTATTAGGCACGGAGCTTCACCAAATGCAGGGTTTCTAGACGCCCCAGCCCACTTCCCCCAACACATTTAGGCTGGACCCCCCCACAGTGGGAGAATAGAGATAGAATGAAGCAGAATGATGAAAAAGGGGTCCCTATGTCCTCCAGCAGTCTAAGCCTATAGCAGCAGAACTATAGAGATAGCTCAGGATATAAGGTAAATTATATCAGAGATTGTTGAATAACAAAATTAATGTGATATAAAAATGAAAAAAAGGCCATGATATTGCCTAGCTATAGATTTGTGATATATATTACAACCCTGAGCAAAATACAAACTTCTGTTTTTGTTTTAAGGGGATTTTATGTGATAAAATGACGCAATTAAAAGCATCTTTTTGACAGGAAAATATAAGCTTGTTAGTAAAAGTTAAAATTGGTTCACTCCATTTATAGGGGAGTCCCCCCGTCCCTCAGTGAGGTCTAGAAACACAAGATCTATGTCAGCCATTCAGCAAATATCCTGCTACATGGCTGTACATCTTATTTTGGCATTTGACCAATTAGATGAGCCTTTGAATGATATATTACCTAATGGAAATTAAGTTGAAAAAAAGTTAACAAGTTAAGAAATAAAGGTAAAAAAATCAGATTGAAAAGTTAAAAAGTTAGTTAGCCTCGTTAACAATTACGTTTAGGTTTATAAGCTAAAACATGTTAGTGCCAGTATCAGCATTAGTGTCTCTAAAGTTATGTTGGACCAAAAAAAATGTGTTTTTCATTAATTTCTTCTAGAAGCACTTTTGGCGTTTCTTGTTATTATATTGACATAAATTTTTGCCATCAAAATATCCATATTTATTTAATGTTACAAAGGTAATAAGGTCTTGTCCTGTATTCCAATAACT